TAAGCAAATACACAGATTCATCTTTGATTCAGAAAAGGCAGCCACATGCCTGCAGTGGCTCAAGCCAGAAGCTGGAGGGTGCTAGAGCATAGCTCTCTGGCATGTAGCCAGCATGGGGTGTGTGTTCACTTCCTCTTCCTGCTGCCCCCAGGGTCTCTGGGATTTGCAGTCCAGATTGACAGCAGCAGGATTCTGCAGGGTTGCTTATCACTTATTCCTGCTTTCAGACGCCTCTGGGATTTGTAGTCCACAGTTGCAGCCAGCACTAAGCAGGGCAGCTTAGCACAGCTCTGCTCTGTACTCGGGAGAAGGGAAGTTTAACCCCATCCATGGCCTCAGACACCAGCAGAGGTTTCCCTGGGGGGGGCCAGTGAGCTGCCCAGTGAGCCAGCCCTCACTGCTCCAGCTAGGGAGCAGGGGGCAAGCCAACCCAGGTCTCTGGAGCAGACATCCCAGCCCAGCCCAGTGCTGCAAAATGCTAGGATGCTAGGGGACTTTGATTGAACTTGAACTAGGAATAGGTTTGGGACAGAATTTTCATAAACCAGTTTGATCTAAATCAATTAAGTCTAATACTACATTCAACCAGGTTTATCATAAACCAGTTTCAGCCATTCTGAAACTTGTTTATTTGCACTGAACTTCTATTCTGTTACAGGTTTAAACCAGTTTCTGATTACTTAAACCGGTTTATGTGTAACTTCTGTCCCTAGCCCAAAGGGGCAGTCTTGTAGGCTGTAGTCTGCAGGTGTGGGGAATTGCCAGCCAGCAGCATGGGGAGAGGAACCTGGCTTGGTGACCCATAGATAATGGTTAAAATTTCAATGATTTTCAGAGGTACAAGTGACAGTTAGGCTCTGCAACTCCTACTGAAAGTAAATAGGAGTTAGGCACCTTCCATTTATGCCTTACAAAATATCCTTCAGCATCAGCAAAACAGTCACTGGTTATTTATCTTTCTGAACTATTAACCTTCCTAAGGATCTGAAAGAATGTCATAGGTCAAGAATTTGTAAGCAGCTCAGTGATTGTAAGTATATAATCTTTTTTTTATAGGTTCAGATGATGACCTGCCTAATTCATATTAACACTCTAAATGTTAAGGAACAAATAAATGTGTGCATGCAATTTTTGAGCAATAAGTGAATATATGCTGGAGTGGGTGGTGGTGCAGGGTTGCGCTTGGGTGACATTATGGGGCTGGGCGGCTGCCATTGTTGCCCATGTCCATTAGGATTCAGCGACCCTGAATTCTGTGGCAGACCATGTCCTGTAACTTCCAGTAGCCTGTTAGACAACCAGTGGGTCAGATGAAATGGTTCTGCAAGCCAAATAAATAATGTTTGCATAAGAATTAGCCTATTTCTGTATTAACTTGATTTTAATTTGACATTTTTGTTGTATTTATAATTTTGAATTGTTTAATATCTGATTAGCCAAGGGAATGTTAAGCTTAATAAGAGGTAATTATTTTGTTTGTGACTTTTTATTTAATTTTAGTTGTTTAGTATTATTAGGGATAATGCATTTCACAGGTTATAGCCTTATTGATCTCTAGTCAATTTCCTATAACAGGGTTCCACCATGTCACTGAGAATCTTGAGGAGGTTACCAGAAATAATCAAGCTGTGTACCATTTAGACTGAATTGTTCTTATTTGAGTCTTGGGTTCCATCATCATCCAGGACTGTTCACCTAAGTAAATGTTAAGAATTTGGCCTAACAGCCTAGTCCATATACAGCTTTTTGTTTTTTGTTTAAATAAAGAAATTCCAAAATAAACTAAATTTATGCTAGGCTGAGTTCACTGTTTGGTTGCATATTTTGAATTTCCTCTGGTCAGTTTTTTGCACATGTAGTACCCATTTGCTATTAAAATCCCATCGGAAAAAGGTGTGTGTATTCGGGGAGTAGGGGGGTGGGAAGTAGAACATGAAACTACGAAAATTATAATTTTTTTAGCAGAACATACGGGCTCAGTCCAGCAGAGGGAGTATTTGAACAGCCTGGAAGTCCTGTTGAGGAAAGATTAATTTGAAAATTCATGTGGAGAAAATCATTATATTCTCTACTTATTTAGTTGTTGCTTAAAATGACATTATTTATGTTATAGTTGCAATGGGTTTATTCCTTGCTTATGATGTTTAGTTTACCCAGTTATTGTCATCTGGATGAATTTTGGAGGCTGCAATTTTTCTAGTGAGGTGAAATAGACACTAAAGTTAGAATAATTTTGTCCATTGTTTTACCATATGTTATTCAAGCTGTATAAATTGGAGTAATTCATGATTGTTTATTGATTAAAGAGAGATTATAATGCATAGTGATTTTTTATTCAATCCTGTTTGCACTGGTACAGGTTATTTCAGTTTGGACAGGTTAATAAATTGTGTACTTGTATATTGATTTGTAGCCATTAAATATTTCACAACTGCCGTGATTATTTCCTGCTTTAAGCATTATTGTTTTATAATGATATAGACCAGGGTGCTCAACCTCTGGCCTATGGGCCAAATGTGGCCTGCAGAGCCAAGGCATCTGGTCCATGGGGCTCCCACATGGTTGGATTGGGGCCAGGCCAACCCCCTCTCCCCGTGCTGCTGGATCAGGGCCAGGCCAAGCCTACTTCCCCTCCTGTGGGGCCAGATCTGGTCCATGGATGCTCTGCGCTCTGTCCATCCAACCCAAAGGAGGAAAATCTTGGACACCACTGATATAGACAAGTCAGAATCAAGGTGCTGTTGTGTTGGGTGCAGGCAGATGAAGACAGAGTTCCTGATCTACAAGGTTGAGAGTTTAGCAGACATGGTTTGGGAGTGGAAATGGTGATGATTATTACCTTTTGTTACTTACATAGTTTGTTTGTTTCTTTATTATTCAGGGTAGGGTGCTCAACCACTGGCCCATGGGCTACATGTGTCCCACAGAGCTGTGTCTTCTGGCCTGTTGGGCTGCCCACAGGTCTGCAAATTTGGTGGTGGGGAAACAGTGGCAGAGTTAATTGCCACTCTCCTGCTGCCAAATTTCCAGATTTCAATGGCCCTGTGCACCAGATCTGGTGTGTGGTCCTGGGGTGGTATGGGGCCCAATTTGGGCCCGGGTGGTGTTGGACCCAACCTCATGTGCTGACCCCCTGAGAGATCTAGCCTGAAGATCAGTCTCATGCCACTGTTCTGGCTTGCATAGCCAAAAGGTCAAGCACCACCAATTAGGGGAATAACGAAGAAAAATGAAAGTGAAGAGGAACTGCTCATCACCTGCCTAGTTCTGGTCAGCTGGCTGCATTTTGTGACAATAGCAAGTCTTAAGGAATGGTGAAAGAAGATAAGTAAGCACCTCTTTCCCTCCCCACCCCCCCATGAATAATTGGTAATCTAGAAGAAACGTTTTAGAAGAATCTTTGATTGTGAACCTGATTACTGGGTAGGATAGACACTCCGAGGATAGGTGGTCAATGACATGGTAAGTTTCTGCATTAACTAGGTGAGATGGGCCTTGAAAATAAAAACAAGAAATGTTTTTGATATGTTGATGGTAAAGGTGAAGCTAGAAAGGCATAGGAAGGGAGTTGATGCAATTAAGTAACAACCCAGGAAGATAATATCAACAGTAGCATTTTTAGTGTACTAAAACAGGGACATAAAACTCTCTTTGGGCTCCAGACTGGATCTGGACCACAGGGCCTTCTACAGGCTAGATTCATAGGGATTGCAGCAACCGTGGTGAGTCCAGGGTCAGGCGGCAGCACATTTCTGGGGGTGGTAGCACAGGTCCAGGGGTTTGTGATGGTGCGGGTCTTCTTTTGGTGGCAGTACAGGTCCATGGGGCTGCTACCAATGGCCATGTCCATCGGGGTCTGGGGGCCCTGAATTCTGTGGTAGGCCATGCCCCACAACTTCCAATAACCCACTGGACAGCATGGTTTTGTGAACTGAATGTTTGACATCCCTGAACTGGAAAGTATCAGGATTGCAGTAGTAAAGACAGAAGTTTGCAATAACCAGGCTGCAACTCGATGAGGGCCTCAGTGAAGTTTTTGGTGGTGTGCTCATGGAACATAGGGCAGGCCTGAGAGATGTTATGTAGGAAATAGTATCAAGATTTAGATGAGAACAGCAGGTTTAATCAAAGATGGCAGCCAAGCTACAACCTTGTATGCTATGAAGGATAGTGGCATTACCTGCATTGGGAAAAGGGGGGAGGGATTAGAAAAAACAGTTAACCAAAATGTTTCCTACTTTTAAAATTAGATATCTCAGATACGCCAATGTGATATTGCTGACAAATGGTATTTTCTTAATGACAAGCACTATATTTCTCACTGTGAGACGGGGGAAGTATCAACAGCAGACTACCTTAGGTTGTGTGCAGAAGGGTGATCTGTCTCCAGTTTTGAGGGAGCTATTTAATGAGAACATTCAATGTTCCTTTCTTTTATAGGGTTTTATTGCATACTCCAGTGTGCATGCAGTGGCAAGAATTTGATCTTATTTGTGTACTACGGCTTGTTCACAAAGTTTGGTGTAATCTTTGAAAAGTTAGTCTAAACAAGCAGTTTCTTGTCATACAGATAAGCACAGGATTCCGTATGAGTCTCTCATTTGCCTGTGTTATTAAAGGAAAACTTGTTGAATATAATATTTGTTCAAGGGGAGAGGCCTAATTCCATATCAACTTTACCTCACAGGGTTATTTGTGATAATTTAGTAATGCTTTTAAAAACGTATGATATCTCTGGAAGTAAGGTCCTAAGAAATGCGTATGTTTTGTTTTTTTCTATTGGTAAAGGTTTTCCATGTATAGATATGTATGAAACAATGGAAATATATTGATACATATATAATGGCATTCAAAATACAAATGGAATAAAAGTAACAAAAGCATAAAGGAACAAAGAAGAAAAGTATATGTTGTTTGTTAGTTAAAGCTATTTTTTTCTAGCATTATTAATGACAGTGGTTTTACACATGGAAAAGTTATTAATTTACTCTTTTTTGCAGGCTCTGCTATGTGGTATATTTATTATGTGTCCACAAGATCCACTTAAATTTTTAGAGGAAAAGATCAGAGAAATAATGGAAAAAGGATTAGATGGTATTTTATGGTATGTATCAAATATTCTGCATATGTTATTTAGTTCAAAAGATTGAAATTAGTGTAAATGGTAATGCTCCACCTGCTGATACATAGCTTGCAAAACAAATATCTCCCATCCGCAACTATTATGTGCACATATTATAAATAGGTTGGGATTAATACTAACATTTTATATTGAAACATAGAGTATATTTTTCTTTTTGTCTCTATGAAATGTCTGCAGAATGTAATTTATACCTAATACTTTTCTGTGCAGCATATACTTATTAAACTCTTAATTTTGAGATGAACAATTTGAGTCGTATCCTCAGCTTCATTGAAGTCAATGAAATTATATAGTTTTACACTGGCTGAGGTACCTGTGTTGAATTATAAGCTTACTTTCAATGTCTTTCTAAATATAGACAGGACAGTAAGGAAAAACAGTCTCAGGGTTTAATTTCATTCACATCAGTATCAAAGGGTGCACTGGTCCTGACTATCTAAATATAAAAATAATTATATTTAAAACTTGTCACAATAGTGTATAAGTGCCCTGCAAGTACTTAAAAACAATAAAAATCATAATAGAGGTTTGTGTGAGTGTCCTTCCCACTTACTCTCTTACTTCTGTGCTAGTGTGTAGGAGAAATAGCTTGATTGGTTTATAGTTTGTGAGTCTGTGTGCGAGTGAGAGAAAATGAATGCATCTGAATAGCTTAATGTGAGGCAGCCACAATGAGTTTTACATTCAGTTTTATATATATAATAAGGCCTTATGGCTTACCTTTTTGGGGGATAAATTCAATCATATAAGTTCAGCGACTGTGGTAATTCTCTGTCTTCATTCATGAGCCTTAGGTGAATATTTTCATTATTTCATTGTCATTCATAAGAGATCATATTAATGAGAAAATGATCTCTGAACATCCCAGAGAGAGTCTCTATAGAGGGATTTGAATTTCAGAGAAGAAATCTTGAGTTCAGGGGGAACCAGTGCAGACAGTTGAGTAGTAAGTTGATATGCTCATAGTTACCTGTATTGTTAACCAGATGGGCTGTTGTGTTTTATAGAAGTTGGAACTTTTCCAGATCTACAGATCCATTCATGTATGTAGTAGTCAAGCCTGTGGCACAGCGTTGTAGGAAAACATCAAGAACCAGAATCCTTTCTCAACCTGGTGGAGTAGAGAAAGACAGGAAGTGGGGTAAAGGGAGAAAATGGCTATTTTTATTCATCAGGATCACCATAATACAGGGGTGGGCAATTATTTTGGGCAGAGGGCCACTTACTGAGTTTTGGCAAGCCATCGAGGGCCGCATGACAGGCAGTCCAGGACAGATAAATATTAATTCTCTAAATTTTTTAGGGGCCTTATGAGCCAGATAGAATGGCCTGGCAGGCCGCATCTGGTCCTCGGGCCGCATTTTGCCCACTCCTGCCATAATACATATTTTATGTTAGGGGCAAGCAAAATATGGACTCCACGCCAGATCTGGCCTGCCAACTGATTGAAACCGGCTTGTGGGCAGATACCCACCAATTGATTAAAACCATCCCATGGCTGCCCCCATGGTGCTCTGCCTGGGGCTGAGCCCCACCCACTTCTGCCCAGGGCAGCCTGCCACACCATGCTCCCACCTGCGCTTGCTGGATGGTCTGCTAGGGTGGCTGCATCTGCCTGGGTTCTGCTTAGCTTCCCCCACCTCCAGCTGGAGATGGACATGGGGATAGCTGAGCAGTACCTGGGTGACTGCAGCCACAACAGAAGCAGCCCTGCTAGGAAGCTATGTGCACTGGCCGTGGCAGGTGTGATCAGGAACATGATGCAGGCTGCTGCAGGTAGGGCTCGGCCTCATGCAGAGTGCCATGGGGGCAGTCGTGGGCCAGATGGATGGGAGCAGATTGCACCTGCACCACACTGCTTGGTTG